TCCCCTCATGATGAAGTTGTAGAAAGCAGGTGTAGCTGTCCTTCAGCTACATCTTTGTACAAACCCTTTTCCAGCACCAGGGAGTTTTACCAGGGAGTACAGTTTTCACCAGTGAGTTTTACCATCTCTCTGTGGAGATGGTGTGTGTCAAGGCTATGCCTTTTACCTACCAGCCTGTTACTCACAGGCAGAAAACAGGGCTTTGTTTCAAGAGTGCTGCAGCAAGACAGGTCACCCCTCTTTGCCACCAGACCCATCTGCAGGCCAACAGAAGTCTTCAGTAATCCAGCCTTTGGGGCTAAACCAGCCTGATGGGGTGCAAAGCTGTCCCTCAAGTCATGTGAAAGAAAAAGTAAAAATATCTGCATGAGGTCTAAGGAGCCTCTCCACTCAATGCCCATATAAATGGCATGAAGTTCATGAAGACCTGTGCCTATAATTTGCTTTAAAAGCCTCATCCGCAAGACTATATCTGAAAGTCTGATAAGAGACTTGATTTCTCAGGAACCCTTGAGTTTCTATTAAAACAACTGAGAGAGATTGTGAGTTCTTCTCATTTGAAATTCAAGTCATTCATGTAGGAATCTAAATATGGAGTTGGACTTCTATCTTATGAAATATTGGCCTTTGTCTTGGGCTGTAGTAAAGCAAATATGATAAGCTAACAAGTGGCATAAAATTTTCAGCTACTTTCTAAATGTTACAGCTTCAAAGAACCAAGCAGAATTACTGAAGGGTCAAAGGCATAGATTAGAAACATCATTAAGAAATGGTAAGAATTACTGATAAGTTTTAGTGTCTTTGTTTTATTACTTCCTTGTCTCAGTCAGATCTGCAAACACACTGATTCACATTTAATTGAACAGCAGCTTCATTGTGAAACATGCCATTCTTAGCTCCAGTAAAGAAAATATCTTTAAAAACACCACCCCCGCTTTCTAACATTGTACAGACAAAGAATTACAGCTCATCTGCCACAGGATATACTCTACAAGTGGCATCATCTCCCTTAAGTCTCCTTTTCTCTGTCATACATGGTGTGACAAGTAGCAGTCTGGGGACCTGTGTGCTGTATGTGCCTCTGTGCAGGAGGGCTCCTTCTCCTGCTCCTTCGTGCCCCTCAATGCCTCAGTCATCACCAGCAGCCTCTGGGCCAGTGTCCCAGAGCTGCAGAGTGGGGAAGGTGGGCCATGCGGGAGGTGAGTGAGAGTGACCCTCACTTCGAGTCCCCAAAGCCCTCCCCACGCTCCAGGGCATTCACTTGAGCACAAGTGAATGTGTCCCACTTCCCCGAAAGCAGCACTCCATGGAGCATGTTCTTCTTCTGCTGGCCATGGGCTGTAACATTCACTGCCTGCAATCAGATGTGTATATTTGATTGGCCTCACAGAAATAAAAAGGATTCGCTGGCTCTGGAGAGCATTGGCCTACATTTCACCATTTTGCTCATGAAGCTGAGCTGGATAGGAGCGCGAAAAAAAGAGCTTGTGAATGCCATAGTGCTGACACAGTTATGTCAGAAAAAAAAAAAAAAAAAAAAAACCACAAAACAAAACTTGTCTCAAGAACTAGTTTCCTTTTGAGGTGCTCTTCTCTGTGGCTTTCACTGCTGCAGAGGCGAGCCCCACCTCACGTAGATCATGCAGTGCAGAGATGATAAGGGCATGCAGTCCAGCCTGGCTGTGGCTCCAGCTGTGTGCTGCTGGCGCCTGCTCTGTCCATGCAGTAGTCTGGTGTCCTTGGTGCAGCTCCTAGGAGAGGCACGCATCTAGTGCAAAGTTTAGGCTTGAGGATGACACATGAGAGGCTTCTGACCAGCCTTTGATTCAGGATACTGCATCCACGTGCTCAAGGGTGCATTCACCTCATCTTATTTCAATTCCAGCATACAGGCACAGTGCAGTGGAAGGTGCAGTGTCTTGGAAAAGAATGGATGGTCCTTTAGGTCTCACTGTATGCAGGATGCCCCAGGGTATGTCATACATCCTGTGTCTGCCTTAGGCCGTGGGAGATTTCACAGCTCTAGTGTCACATAAAGTTCACCACAGTGATCTGAACTGATGTAACCAAGCTAAAAGTGACACTTCAGTACAGATAAGCCCTTCATTTTTAAGTTGGTTATTTACAGTAGACTAGCCTGTGTGAGTCACAGCATCTGACCTGAACAGCACATTCCACTACCTGGGTAAGAATTTGTCTGGTTCTGTCATTTTTTGCAATTTTTAAACTCCTTATGTAGTCAAGGGTGGTAGAAGGAGGCTGGAAACTTATCTGGACCAGTGAAGGCTTCTTTTGCTCTGGGATTTGACCTTTAGTCATTTTACTTTCAGCCAAAATTCCTGCAAATCCTTTCCTCCTAATCTGTGCACTACAGATTATGAAAAGCTGATGAGAAAAGCTAAGTCTCATTTGCTCAGAAAGAATAATTCCAATTTTTTCCTGAGGCAAATGATAAAATTAGGCAAACAGGTGCATTTATCCTAGGCTTAGTTGAATACTCTGTTTTATTTGTCCTCATGTAAGGGTACTGTAAGACGGGCCTGGGCATAGGTCCCTGATGGGTTAATAACTCAAACTTTGTTTCTACTGTGTTTTTCAGAGCATTGTAGTTTTCCAGATGGAGGACTGGCAGCCTGAGGAAAGGTCTAGACCCAAGGAGTCCTGGCAGTAGAAAGGCGGGATGGGTGGGTGTCCGTGAATGTTGCAAGAGAAGACCATGTCTGTAGACTTTTACCTGACAACTGTTCCCAGCTCTGCTGTGGACCCCTGGCTTTGGCCAGATGGGTCCATGAGTCATGGTCCAAACACAACGTCACTATAATTTGATTTGTGAGTACTGTCTCCAGTGCCCTGGTAAACATCTGTCTATTGTGAACAAGGCTAAGTCACTTTTCCCATCTCTTGCTTTCTGCCTGAGGGAAAGATAAGAAGTATTTGACTCTTGTCCTTAGTATCATGTTAAGATCCAGCCCTGGAGAACTGCTCACATGTTCTGAGCATTTCTGATGATCCCAGAATGCTGAGACAGTGCAGCACAGTGAGGGTGGTCTTATATTTGAATTAATTAGGTCTTGAATTAAGACTGAAATATTTAAGGGTGAATTACCTACCCTAGAGAGGCTATTCTCCATTTTTCTGTCTTGCTCATTTTTATGCTTTATTCCACTGTGTGTCTGCATCTTTTTGCACTGCCCAGCCTCAAATGCTGCCATTTGATGATGAAACAGAAAAGGGTAGGTTTGTGGCTTATATATGAAGAAATCTTGAAGCTGCCCACCAAGTCCTCCTTTTGGCTCCTGTGGCATGCCTGAGGCTGGCACCACCCTGCAAAGCTTGCAGGTTTTGCTGACACATTAAGATAAAAAAAGGACTCACCTTATGTCCTCAAGAACTTAGGAATAGCAGTGACAATAAGAGAAGGTATTCGAGGTTAGGAGAAGTTTGCTGGTATAAAAATTTCAGCCCCCCTGAAAAAATATTGGTGCTCTCCCTTTAGGTTTTTTAAACCGCTTATAGACCAAAGCTGCACCCCCAAGAAGGCAATGACTATGATTTTGCTCAGAAAGGCATGTCTGTCAGAGGGTAAAAGATTATAAAAGAGTAGTTTTCTAAAAGCAAAACTGATTTCAATTGAAAGCATGTATCCAGCAAAATGCCTGGAAAAATTGACTGCAGCAAATACCTGACTTTATGTTTCAGCCAAAGATAAACTATCAGGCAGACTCAAGAAGTAATGGAATGAAATTATACTGTCTGTGTTGTGCTGGAAGGGCATAATAAATGATCCCTAGACTGCAGTCTCAAAGGACTGTGGCATTTTCATGAATTTTCTGCACAGTGTTGCTTGGAGCCAGACATGGCAACCACTATCTTGCTCTTCCCATCTTGGCTCTCCTGTTCAGGTCTGTTGCAAAGCCTGATGTGGAAAGGATAGAAAAAGAGTGCTAGATCTGTAGAAAACAACTCCTGAAGGGGAAGAATGACAGTGGAGAGAAAAGCTTCTTCCCTGAGTACTTGTGTATGTCTATTCTTCCCCCATTTCTGCTCCTGACACCTTTTTTTAGATAATCCCATACAAGGTCCTTCTCTCTCTTGAATAGCTTTACAAAAGAAAATGGAGGGGAAAAGTCATCTAGTGAAATAGAAGACTCACCTGTATTTTGAACAGGTGAGTCAATTGCATTAAAGTGGACACCTTTAATAAGGGTGGGTTAAATCAAATGTTCTTCTTAAGCTAAAGTGCCAACATGTGGCTTTAACGTGGTTTAAATAAGTTTTTTAAGTTTCATCACTTGAAAAGTTCATTCAAATCAGGTTTCAGTAGCATCTCCATGTAGGTAAGCCCACAGTTTCTCTCACTGATGAACTGGGGACTTCCCTATCTTAGGAGGGTGCTGCTGCCAGACCCAGTTCCCCAATGCCTACAAAGCACTTTGCTCTGCCAGGGGCATGGGGCCAGACATGCACAGCCCTCTCTCCTAAGTGCAGCAGACACAGGCTCTGGGCAGCTGCTCATGGTTCTGTGCAAGGCTCCCAGCTGCAGCCTCTCTAGACACCTGCCAGCTGGCAAGGACAGTACTGTCACCTGTACAGAGCCATATCTGAGGTGGCAAAACACTGGCTCTGCTCTTTCTTCTGCCACCAGCTCCCCATGTCCCACATGCACCTACCAGAAACAGGGCCAGAACCATGGACTCATGGTTCTGGCCCGTGCACTTAATCTTTAGTGTTCTTGGAAGTCCAGTGGGGAGAAGAGGATTTGCAGGGCTGTTCAGTGCCTGATGTGGGTGACTTTCCTGTGCTATTTCATTAGGGGAACTCAACTGCAGGAGATTCCTGGAAATCTGATCCACGAGATAAACATGGAAGAACTGAAACAGCAGTATCTGTCCAGTGCTTCAGACTGTCAGTTCAGAGGCGGGTCAGAGCCTCCCTGACCTGAACAGGGCTGTCAGTATACACACAGCTGCTCTCACTCATAGACACCCAGTGGGCCTAAGTGGAGGCAAAAGTTTTACTAAACAGCCACACGGCTTTCAGAGTCACATGAGCACTACTGACATGCATTTTCTAAGAGACTGATGACATTTAAAGCTCTTTGAGTAAACTATTTGCTTTACATTTATAACAGGATATTCATCCCAGTGCTTGCCATGGGAATGAAGCACACCGATCAGCCTTCTAATGACCAAATGTTTGCCATCTCAAAAACCTTCTCCTGGAGAATAAAATACACATCTTTGTTGTACAGTTCTGAATCATCAATAATGCTGGGACAGATTCTCTTACAAAGGTATCAGGTTTAAGAGAGCAGCCATCTTACTAACCACACAGCCTATTTCCAGATGGCATTTTGAACACATATAGACCAGGGACCTTGCTATCTAATCCATTATGCAATTAATTAGCAGTTATAAATTAAGTATGGGCCTAGCAGAATGTGTTCTTCCATGTTGCAAGCCTCGTGCGGCAAGGGCAGACCAGTGAGCTGGTGAGTCACCACAGGTGACACAAAGGCCACCTCAGCCGGTCATTTTGCTGGAAAAATGAGAAGCAATTCCCATGTGCTAGGAGGCTGCATCTGAAGAAGGAAAAAGATTCTCTTTGTGCACTCTTGTGCTGCTGGTTGTTTGTTTTCTGGTGGCGTTGACACATGGATGCTCAAATAGCAGCGTGACAGTAAGACAGCTACGGTACCTCCCTCGTCAGGTGTGTCCACTGAGGTTTATGGTTCACCTATAACTGCACACCCATGGGAAGGCTAATCTGGGGGCACTCTGAGGCTAACGGTGACTTACTCAGCCAGACCAGGGACAGCTCTGAACCCTCTTGCTGGGCCATGGTGAAATGCACCAGTGACAGGCCAGTGCTGGCTCTTTCTGTGCAGTGTGTGGCTGTGGTGATACCTCCCTCAGCTCTGCACCCCACTGGCCTCTAAAGCTCACCCAGTGTCTCTTGTCCCTCTGGGAGCCTCTCAGGATCCCTGGCCAGTCCCAAGTCCCCGACACGGCCGACAGCAGGGAGACGCTCTCTGTGCCCTGAGGGGACTGAGGGCACCCGGGCTGGTCGCCTTTGCAGCAGGAGAGACACCAGAGACATCGGTAGAAGATAAAGGCCCACTCTTAGCAGGGGTTAATCCAAGGTTTTATTTAGGGGCTCTGGGGAGCTCCTGCACCTCAGGGGCCTCCTGCTGAGAGCCCCAGGAGATGTGCCAAGGTTACATTGAAAGAGACGTGGAAACCAAAAGCAGAGAACATTTTACTAACCACTATGTGCCCCTAAGGGATGGGTACTGAGGAATAGACATTTAGGACAGCGTATGGGACAAGGCTTGGGGGGCTGACCCCTGGCCTCTGACTAATCACTCGACAGCCTGGACTGAAGCTTCTAGATGGAGGGGATGGGATGGTGAGTGATTGACAGAGAGCCAGGGTGGGGATTTAGGGATGATCTCATCCAGGGAGAGGGATTGCACAGGAAGGGAGTACAATCTGGGATAAACCATTTGGGAAAAGTACAAATTTTGGGGATACAAAACAAAGCTACTTCAAAGTATTACAAAGTATAAAAACACACTACAACAACCCAGGTGAACTTGCAGGGGCTGCAGTCATACCATTAGGCTGGAGGGTGAGGTGCAACTTGCCAGATACAAACTACTTCTCAAAGTGAGCCTCAGATTAGGCTGGGGACTACGCCCAGTTTACTTAGCTGCCAGTGTACTCCCTGTCTTGGGAAATCCCTAGGCGACAGACTCCTAGCACCTGGGAAATCACACTGGTCACTGTGTACTTTCCCTCTTCTTGGGCTCTTTTTCTAAATATTTGGTACTGACCACAGCTGGAGAAGACACACTGGATTAAATGGACCTTTGGCATGTTCCAGGTGTTGCCGGTTTTATGCGCTTACAAGTCACCAAAAGTAGCTTGTAACAAAACTGGTTAGCTAAGACATTTTGGTAAGGAGTGTTCATTTGTGAAGTGCTTTGAACATCAGGCAATAGTAGCTAATCTTTGATTACCAATAGCGACTGCTTTTCCAAAAGGAAATATGGGTGGGGAGAAAAAGAAATTTCTATTCAGTTCCTGGTCCTGGTTGCCTGGTGAATTCTTTTAACATGCAGAAGAACAGATTTGCTTGTTGATATTTTGGGGATGTTTCCTGTGAAAGAAAAAGTATAACTCAAAACTAGCTGACTTGGAGGTCTTGTCATGATTATGTCCTCCAAGGATTTGTGTTATTCAGCTGATAACTAGGGTTTAAAGAAGGGAAAAACAAAGGTATCACCTTATGTCAATAACAGCAGCATCACAGCACATGACCTGTGCCGTTGTTAGGGCAGACATATTAGTGGAGCTGTTTGCTCATGGTGTTCACTTCTCTGTGGCAGTCACTTGTGATATCTTATTTAGCCAGGACTGAGAGTTTCTGAGAAATGCCTGATCAGTCTGTGGCCACCAGCAACATAAGTGCCCAGGTCCCATCATGATGTTGCAAGATGGATTCACTTTGACACAAATCTGGTACAAATGTCCATGTCAAACATATCCTGGCTATCTGAGCACAAAGGCAAAACAGATTTTCCAAGGTATACAAGCATCTAAAAACACACTGAGGCTCATCCAGCTTTTTAAATCATTCACACAGGTCAGGTTCTTAACTCCTACTACTTATAATAAAAAATTATATGAGAATTATAATGAGAAAAGTGCTTTTTAAGCGCCTGTTGGATGTGTGCCCCTTTTGGCCTGCCTGATAATGCCTCTCAGGCTGTGTAGTGTGCTGCAGTCCATGGGACTGGCTTAAATAGAAAAAGGAATTTCAGACTCCAAAGTGGTTACCATGCCACCAAATTCGTACAAGTGAAATGAAAGCAGACAGTTCCATCACAGCTGCATGATGTCTTCAGTCATAATAACTGGATGTTCAGGACTGTAGAGGGATTCTCCAGTGAAAATGTGTTTTACACGTCATGCGTCACTTCAAGTGAGGGTGCAGTATTGGTCACTGCAGGATGTCACAGAGGAACCAGACAACCCAAGCCAAACCAAAGTCCTCCAAGAAGGCCACAGTGGGCAGCAGGCTTTCTGGTTTGCAGAGACATCCACCTTCAGATGGTAAGAAGTTCTGGTATGGACAATGCTGGAGCAATCTTTAAAATTACCACATACGTCTGTGAATAGTTTCAGGGGAAAGATCTCTGATGAGGAGAAGGAGAAAGGCTTCTGACAGGCATTGTAAATCATGTACCATCCTACTGATGTTTAGTAACAAGTTGAACCTGAACTTACCATTCCCATTGCCAGTTCCTGTGTGGTGCTGCTTAGATAAGTCTTGTTCCTGATGGCTAAAAATAGAAATGTTTTTCCACTCTGACTTTTTCTTTTTAGAAATTTTGGTTTTCTTTTAGAGAAGGCCTCAAAATAGTTTTGGAGTTTATTTAGTTCTCATTCTTTGACTTGGTTTCCTGCTAGATGTCCCAGGCTAGCTGGCACTGGAGACAGCAGAGCTCTAACTGGAGCAGACAAGCATGCTGGTGCCCAAATACAACCTTCATCAGAAACTCTGTATGGGGCTCATGATCAGGGCCAAGTGGAGAATGAAGTCCTGTGATCTTACTGCCTGAACAGAAAAGTGCTGGCAGCTGTAGAGAGGGTGCACAATGCTTCTATACCCAGTAGGAGCCAAATGGGGACAATTTTTTTGGACCAGCAGGGTTGAAGCTGTATCAATGCCTCAAACTTGTAGCTGCTGGCTGCATCAGGAGCTCATGTAGCTGCCTGAGCTTGGTGGCTGCATACCAGGAAGCTGGCTACTGCTCCAGTAAGGTTCCAGGTGCCCATTATCACAAAACATGTGCTCTTGATAGCTTCATAGCTATTTCCTGGGTAATGCTGCTTCCCTGTGTGGTGATCACTTCCAGATATGCCTAGGAAAACAGGGTAGGTTTCGTACAAGACAGTATTTTCATATTATTTTCTGTGAGATCAGAGTATTTTTTTCCATCTAAGCCCAAAAGCAAAATTCTGGCAATATGATGTGACTTCTGCTGCCTTCCCAACTATCTGTTGCCTTTGTCTCCATCAGAACAGTGTTGGTAGCTGTCAGGTTTCATTGTAGCAATCACCAGAACCCCTACTGTCCACCAGAAGTATTTATTCCAGTTGTCAAATACCAGGCAAACATCATGTAGTCTCTATTGCATCTCCCTTTTCTGTCTTCACCTGCCATCCAGCCCACCCCAAAACCCTTCCTTTGCTCTGCACATAGGCACCAGTTCAACATAAAGTGAATCTTTTTTTTCTATCACTGAGCATTTAGACTTTCTCCCACCAGGACTGGTCAAAAGACTGCATCAGCTGGTCATTGTGGCAGGGAAAAGTGGCTCAGCTCACCTAAGTTAAACCAAATCAGGACTGAAACAGTTTATTGATTTATTAAGGAGATGTAATTCATGGACAATCCATGAACTATACATTCAGGGTCTATGTCAGCAATACAGCAGTTCAATCACTAGGTTAGACACTTAGAAAACACTTATAAATTCCTTCTGGTTCCTAAACACACCTTTGTTACTAATCTCCAGACACGTGGGCATCAACCCCTCTCTCACTGGCATGGGAGTCACTTCTGGGAGCACAGCTCCCCCAGTTATGTCCTTTTCCCACGGCAGTTGTGGCCACTCCAGCTCTAGGGGTGCCCACACCACTCCCAACAATCAGCTAATGCATCTGCTGGCAGGCAGGGACACCAGCAGGTCCCACCCCCTCCTGGAGTGTGAGTCCCACATGCTGCGCCCCATGGGGTCAGGCCGTGCACTGGGCCCTGCTGCTGATGGTGACATGGATGGGGAACTGCTGCATCTGACCTCCACAGAAGCTGAGATGTGCCAGACTGGATTCTGACAGTCTGAGGCCCTTCCCTGATCTGTTTCTGGTTTTTGTTTTTCGTTTATACAGTCTTTCCAACCAACTCATTCTTTGTCTCCAAATTGTCTTTGCTGTTCCCTGGTTACCATTTAATCCAGCTGATGGATGCCATCCTCTTTAGCATCATCAGCTGATGTCTGCTCTTTGTTTTCCTCTTCAGCAAAAGAAGTTTTGGGCAAATGCTTCAGATACTTTTTGGCTTTCCATCCATACATGCTCCTTAGTGTCACTTAACTGTTTTATTGGCTGTTGTCTTACACCTCATTTTGTCAAGAGTGTGCTGTGGAGGCACTCTACCATAACTAAAACTGACATTAAAGAAAAGAATAGTGTCCCCATGTCTGAATTTGGGGGGAGGTTATTTCTACACATATTTACTTTCTCAGGGCCTACCAGTTCATGAATCCTTGACCTTTTAGTTACCTCACTGTGCACAACTATATGCAGTTAATCTGTTTAAATTGTGCAGTCATTGTGCTCAGAGAACCAATTGCCATGTGTCTGTAAATCTAATCGCTAGTGACCCCAGACCTGTAAGAGAGACAAGGAGAGGAAGGACGAAGACTTGAAAGACAGTGTTGTCCTGGGAGACAACATACCCTGTTTGAGCCAGTGTTATGTGTAGCAGCCTCTGAATGTTTTTTTTTTTTTTTTTTCTCCTGAACATCCCAGGCAGAAAATTGGAGGACAATCCCAAGGCAGTGTCCTGTAGGACCAAAAAGCTGGCATGGGGACCAAACACTGGCATGTACTTTGCTGGGACTCTGAGGGCAATTCTTGAGGGTCACTACTCTCCCCCTCAAGGCCACCAGAGGACTACAGACTGTTTGCCACCTGGCATCTTGATAGCAGTCTGAGGGCTGCCATTCAGTTCCTCATCCTCTCTCACCTGTTGTGTGCGATGCCGGCTTGGTGCCAAGCAATTGAGCAGCTGCCCTTTTCCAGCTCCTGGGCATGCCCATCCCCATTTGTTTGCAGTGGCAGCCCATGGAATAGTACTGACCTGAGGCCATTTTACACACTTCTGTCACCTTATAACTTGCACTTGATCCCAGAGCCTGAGTTGCTCCCTGTCCTGGCATGCCTCTCTGCTGCTGCTCATCACAGCATCACCCACAGCCATCTTCAGAGATTTTCTAGATCACACATTGCCCAAAGTTTCTGTTTGACCTTTAGCAGCACAGTCTCCTTTCCCCCCAAAAATGGCGCTAAGGGGCAGAAATCAAGCCAGGCAAATCCTTGCTTTGATTTGCTCTGCACTGGCCATTTCTCTTTCACTGCTACATTAGAAATAGTTGTCCACCCTCCTGCCCCATAGTGAGCACCTTTCCTTGCTCTAGGTGCCTTCTTCCAGTCCCACAAAGCAGGAGATGGAAAGGAAGCAGGAAATCTCTTTGATGGCTATGCTTGAGGCAGTGAGATAAACGCCTAGCAGCTTCCATCCTGTAAGTTGTTCCTTCCTAGGTGTCGGTGCACAGCTTTCCCTGACCGCATCCTTCATCCTGCAGCTAATCTCCTGGACATGCATTGCTTTGCACATTTTGTTCTTGGCAGTTTCCAACATTGCCTCAGGCCCTTATCGCCTTAAAAAATCAGATCATACGATCGTGGCCTTAGAGACTGCCCAACTGATATCTGAGCAGCCAAACAAACAGTAAATTTGAATAAAATTTGGCACCTCATTGCCTATTAGTGCTGCTAATTCTGAGAGGATAATTCACAGACATCAAGGTAAAGTGCATCTCCTGAGCATGCACAGGACAGTCTCTTCAGTTTTGCAAAAGGTTGGCAGGAATGGTTTGAGACCCTCATGAAGGGCATTTTGCCCATTCCACATCCTGCGTGCCCCAGCCTGTGCAGTCACAGGGATTTGATATTTCTGGCCACCACCAACCCAACAGGACTTGTCTGTGTATTTATACAAAAATACAAATGCTTGCAGGAAGAGGAGAGAGTTCCCCAGTGATCCTTAAACAAACATTGATGAAGCCAGGAGCTCCTGCAGCTCGGCTTCCACCAGCAGCACTGGAGCTCGTAGTGATGGTGTGCCGTGCTCAGAGGAAGATCGTGTTGCTGAGTGGCCATTTACTATGTAATTGTGATACAGTTCTTTAGATCTTCTCTAGTTGCTTTCTCCAAACTCACTTTCTGTGGTCATAGGAAATAATGCTGTGGTAGAGTGCACCTCCATTAAAATTGGTTTCAGTATCATCTTGAACCTCCCTGAATGTCCCATGCCTGTTTTGTTTTGGATGACCCTATTGCTCAGGCAGAAGGCAGGAAGGAGAGGGCTGCACAGACTGCTGCTGCTGGATGTGCCCTGAGCTAACTCATGTGCTGCTTGTCCCACAGAGCAGATGAAGTGGGTCCTAGCCCGTAGAAAACATGAGACAACATTGCAGGGCAGGCTGTCTGGTGAGCAGATTTCATGCCTGGGTGACACCACCATGCACCCATACATAATTCCCTAACTGCTGTCCTTTGTAGGGTAGCACACCTGAGCTATAAAATTGCACCCAGGGCATTAGAAGGAAAGTTAGTTCAGCTCCTCAGTTGCCACTGCAGACTTGTAGCAGCAAGCTCTCAGCCCAGCAGCTGAGAGAAACAGGCTATCTGGCAAGAGCAGCAACTGCACAGTGGTCTGGGGAGTCAAAAATGGGTGGTTTTTCCTTCAGCAGTGCTTGTGTATTTATTGGCTTGATTGTAATCACAGCTGCCTTAAGTTGTAACTGATACTGCCCTTCCTGCAGCATAGATGATGTTCGCTTGGGTATCAGGTACTGCTGTCTGTGTTTGCTTTTGTTATCAACCACCATCACCAGGACTCTTTAAAAGACCAGCTCTGACCCAGACACCAAGGAGAAAAGAGAGATTCCAATTATCCTCTTCCCTATGGCTCTCCAGCTCTTTCCCATCACATAGACACCACTGAGAGCTGATTCTCCTAACCCAGCATGAAAATCTGTGTGGCACACCTGGCTCCCTTTGATCATGTATAATGTATCAAGGTGCATTCATCAAACCAGACACTCCCAATTAAACACACATTTCTAGGCCTTCTAGGCACACAACCTCCATGTATCTCTAACCCATAAGCCTTCATGGCTTTGAGAAGTCTGGTGGCATGTCTAAAGCTAAGGAAGCCATCCTCAGACACTGCCATGAGTGTAGTTGTAACTTCGAGAGTATCTGGCCCGTCTGGACCTAGAGTGGCCCCAGCAAAGTAAGACTGAGGGCCTAAAAAAGCAGCTCTTGTTGCTTCAGGGGCTGGTTCAGGGTTGTAGCCATGAAGAAAGGTGTCTCATTATGGCTTTTCCCTAAATGCTAGCTTTAATGGCTTAGGAAGGGTGTGTGATAATGGTGGCTAGACCACTTCTTCTTGAGACCTGAGAAGAGCATGTTGAGTTTGGGTGGTCCTTGATTCCAGGCTAGGTCATTCTTGGGGGAACTGCCAGAATGTGCACCTGCTAGGTAGTACCATGGAAAGGCTCATCTTAAGTGCATTCATTGCAACTCGAGACCTTAAGAAAAAAAAAAAAAAGAAAAAAAAAAGATGGAGCTAAAGTTCAGAGAATGTATCAAGGGCAAGAAAATATGTGGCATACAATATTACAACCCGACAGGAAGTTCAGAAGTTAACCTAAGTATGCTTGGATACAGATTGAATTTAACTGTCCTGTAATGGTACCAGGGGACCGAGGCACATTGGTTACCTGTGATGACAGAGGTGCCTCCGCAGAGAACCCCCAACCCCACCCGGCCGGGCCAGGGGTGCGCTGCCGGCGGCTGCGGCGTTTGTGCAGCGCCCTGAAGGTCACCCCGCAAGGGCGGCGGCTGTCGCATGTGCAAGTCGTGTCCCTTCCGCCACAGGGAACGGGCAAGGCCCGCTGCCACCCTGCCCGCCCCTCCCGCCTGGTGCTGCCAGGGCGCTGGCGGCGGAGCGCGGCGCCGGGCCGGGAGCGCTGTCGGCGCTCGTTATTCCGCAGCCGCGTTACACGTGAGCCCGCCGGAGTGTGGCGGGCCCGGCGGAGCAGGGCGGGCGGCCACGCGAGGCGCCGGGAACAGGAGAGGGACGGTGCTCCGCAGCGCCCGGCCGAGCAGCTCTGCTGCGGGAGCAGGGACCGCAGGGAGCGGGCGGGGCGGGAATACCGGGAACGGGCGGGCACGTGCGCGGACCGGCGCGCGCACAGGTGTGCGGGTGCGCGCACACGCGCCCGCAGCTACAGCCGGGCAAGGGACGCGCGCCCCCGCGGTAGCACGCACGCACCTGCCCGGCCCAGCGGGTCGGAGCTCCGGGGAGCGGCGGGCGGCCCGCGCCCACCCTTCCCCCCGGCGCCGGTGCCGCAGCCCCCCGCCCCCTCCGCGCCGCTCCCGCCGCCGGCGCGCCCCCACCGCGCCCCGCCCGCCCCGGGCCCCGCCCGCGGAGCGCTCGGCGGATCCGCATTGGCGGCGGCGCGGGCAGGGCGGAGCCCGCGGCGTATATGAAGGGGCGCTGCGCGGGGACCGCGGCTGCTCCGTGCCCCGTACCCTCCGCTGCTCTCCCCCTGCGGTTCCCGCGTCCCCCCGGCCGCCTCCCCCGCTCTGCCCCGTTGGGCCGGCGCCGCCGGGGCGGGCGCACCCATCCGCACCTTCCGGAGCCGCTCCGCCTGCTGAGGGCTGTAGATCTCTGCACGCCGCTCGCCCACCCCGCTGCTCGCTATGGCCCGCGGGAAGGCCAAGGACGGTGATGGCAACTGGAAGAAATTCATCTGGAACTCGGAGAAGAAGGAGCTGCTGGGTCGCACTGGGGGCAGCTGGTGTGAGTGCGGGGCCGGGGGGCGGCGTTGCGGCGGGCGCTGCAGCACGGCCCCGGCGCTCCGCCTCCGTCGGCTGCGGCGGGGCTGCGGCCGGGGCGGGGGGGGCTGGCAGCGGGGTGTCCCCCGGGGTGGGGGAGGCAGGGACGGGGTCCCCCTGCCCTCTCCCCTCGGTGTCCGCCGGGACCCCCGGGGGCGGCGAGCGCCGTCCCCCGAGTGCGGCTCCAGGTGGGTCCGGGGGTGAGGCGGGGTCGGGCCGACCTTGTCGAGGGCACCTCGTCCTTGGGTCTCCTTCCTTTCCCCATGGCTGGCCCGGCCCAGGAGCATCGCCGTCGGGGGGCCCTGACCTCCCAGCTCTCACCTGCCCTAGACCTTACAGAGGCTTTTTCTTTTTCCTGTTTTCTCTGGATAAATGAAACTAAGCGAGTTTTACTCCGCTGAGAAGGAGCAATTGACTTTTAATATCTCCGCAAGAAGGAAATGGCTCTATGTGCATTCCTCATAAATGTTTGCCCTGTATTCATTGCATTTAGCTTAAAGAGGCTTTTAATTTCTTTACGCTAATAGCAGCCTTCCAGTTGCTGCCAACCACAGCCGGTGTTGCCACCCTTGCGATGTTGAATTCAGCTCCTGTTGTAATGGATCGGCTCGGAGATGCCACGTCCAGAGCCGGCAGCTCTGGCAGGTGGACTAGAGCAGGATTCTGCCGTATCTTTACGTGAGCAGAATGGGGTTGTGGGTGTGCATGGAGAGGTATTTTCTGCTTCTGAGGCACCAGGCAACTGCGCAGCGCTTTAAAGGCGGAGGCCGAACCAGGTCCTTTCCCAGAGTGTCCGTACCTATCTGCCTAGGACTGATTTCCATTTGCTGAGTTGATCTGCAGGCTGACGATTAGATTCTTCTGTTCTAAGCATACCTGTTGCAAGAAGCTTTTTCCTTCAACCCCGTGGTGCTCGATTTCTAGACCCACTGTGTATTTTCTGAGACCTTGGAGTGGTTTTGACCTTTAAGGTGTCTTTGGCGTTTAGAGCATCCTGGCTGGCAACCTGATTAAATAAGCTACCTCCCAGCGTTTGCCTTTTGATGTTACAAAACTCAAAGGCATTACGCTGCAGACAACAGCATTAGTGTTTGGTTTGTTACAACAGCACCTCCTATGACCGTGCTCTGGAAAAAATTTCCACACGTCCCTGACGTCACGGCCATTTGCTTTACGCTGCCTGGATACCAAAGAGTGCTTTAACTCCTGGAGCCCCACGTTACTGCACCCAGCTCTGCCCTCCAGCCCTGGCTACCTCTGGTGCACGCGAGGAAGACAAGAGGATGGGATGCCTTTCTGATAGTGTCCCTCAGCATCTGTTTCTCTGGGTGGCCCTCCTGTTTGCCTGTCTTTCACAGACTTAGAACAACCAGATGCCAGCTTTCATTGTGAGCCTTCTCTAATGATGTAGGTTTGGTTTTTTTTGATGGAGCTGGGGAGTGAGGAGGAATACTTCCACCCACTACTTACTCCCTTTCTCTGGTATCTCATCACTTCAAGTCCTTCAGATAAACTACATCTGTTTTGTTTGCGATTAGATGAGGACAGTCTGAGATATCAAGTAGGCTCACTCTCAAATTGTCTTTGGCTTCTGCCTGTCCCTGCAGCCTGATGAGCAATACAGTTGCTTGGCATGGGCTGGCCTACCCTTGTAGGTGGCCTGGTGGTGTGTAGTACAGCATGTTACCCTGCAGTTAATTTGTTCAGATAATCCTTGTAAACTGGTAACCGATACCCAGAGCTGGGCTGCAGCTCCGTTCTTCCCAGTCCCTCCTCAAGATGGTTCTAGACGATGCTCCTTTTAGACTGAAACTACATTTAGTCTTTCATTGTTATGTAATTCACTAATTAGTATGAGCCGCCCAAGAGTGTCTTTGTAGGTACTTGCAAGCCTGGTAAATGTGCAGAATTTTGACACCTTAAGCGTAGTTTCCTACATTTGAGATGGAGTACTGAAGTTAATTTGGCCTGAACTCTTTACCCATTGTGTTTTTGTTGGACGTGATGGCCTGAACTACTAGACAGATCGGGCTTTACAATGACTTGTAAATGTGAATGAAACCCTTACTGGTAAGGCTCCTGGAAATAGCTTTGAGCCCAGAGCTATGTGGAATGAGTATCCTTCAAGCACACCCATGCTTGCTGTGGTGCACTTGGATCACTGACCCTGGCAAGTGCAGGGGCCTATGGTGGTGGTGCTGGGTCAGGGATCCTTGAAGGTGTGGGGGAACATGGTTTAGTCTTTATGTTTTATAAGCCCAAACCCTGATTCACAGATTCATTCAGGGGCTCATGTTTCCCCACCACCAAACGACTGGAGTGCCTTACATTTCGTGTCTGCATCAAGGCACAATCTCACTGTTAAATAGATGTCTTTGCAACATCTGAATTTTGTGTGCCGGGCACCTCCTTGCAAGTGGCAAAGCAACCTTGTACTGTCCTGAAACATGACTGCCATGAAGGCTTGATTTGATTCCTCTTTATTTGTTTTCTCTTGCAGTTAAGATCCTCCTCTTCTATGTCATCTTCTACGGTTGCCTGGCAGGTATATTCATCGGGACCATCCAAGTGATGTTGCTCACTGTCAGTGAATTTGAGCCCAAATACCAGGATCGAGTGGCACCTCCAGGTAACTAAATAGGAGGCCCGTGTTTGACTTCGTGCAAGCTGTTCTGGGAAGGCGGGGTTGGTTACTCACCTCAAGAAGGAGGATGAAATAAGCGTGTTGTTGCTGCAACACATATTTGTAGGGGGTGGGTATGTTCTCAGCCTTCTGTGTTAACAGTACTGGGGCTTGAAGAAAATCCTGCTAGAATTAAAGGTTGCATCACGGGAAAACCATCTCCTCTCTGAGAGGAACTTGAACCTGCTTTGGTTTTCCCTTCCCCTAAGCTGAAGAGATGGGGTGAGGCTAAAAGGCTTCACTTTTGGAAACAGGCTGCATGAGGAAGCTGAGTTTGGTTTTTCTTTCTTCAGAACCACTCTGTTCACATGGGTAAGTGAAGGGATAAAGATAAAATGTTGGCTCTGTCAGTGGAAGCAGCGTACCAGTACCAGTTCTGGGAGTGCTCATGGAATTGTTTTATCCAACACCACAGTACCCTGTGCTCTAGAAATGCTGTGGCACTCACTAGTGGGAATTGCAGCCAATTGGCGTGGGAGGTGAAGGGAGGGTTGGGTGGGTCTGGTAGCTGCTGATGTGTGACCTGTCCTCACAGACATAGAAATCTCTGCTCAAATGATGCCTGAGCAGTGCCTGTGGCCAGCTGGCCTTGGCTGGGGCAGCAGGAGCACATGGCCCTTGCCGCAGGTGCGCGCTCCGCCTGCCCGGGCTGCGCTATCCGAGTCCCGCCGCAGCCGGCGGCTGGAGCGCAGGGGGAGCTGCGCCACTGCTGCCTTCCCACATTGCCAATGACCTTGAGGCTGCCTGGCACTGGGCATCCTAACGATCCGTCTCCAGTTGCTCTGTGAAACAGTTCAGAAGCTTTTAATAACGGTGGTATTTAAGTGACAATTGTGACACTGATGGCTTGTAGCTACACAAGTTGGCCCTGATGCTGAGATGTCTTGCAGCCCCACTGCCTGTAGTGCTGTGCTGTGAATCCCTGCCCTAAACACAGGGAGTGTCACTGTCACCAAATGGTGCTGCAGCTCAGCTAAGTCATCTTTTCCAGATCACTGAGTTTCTACCAACATGCTTTAACACAGAACAGAGGCTGGAGCTCCTGTGTTAGTGTGTTATACTTCATGTGCCACCACCATGGCCGGGGCAAATGCTGACTTAAGAACTGAAAGCAGCTCTTTTAATCTCTGCAGTGGGCCCTGACATTTGCAGTAAAGACTGTCAGTGATACTGCCCAGAGCCATTGGCTGCATCTGAAAAGCCAGCATGGCTAATGCTGGGGTAATTGTTACTCAGTAATGTGTTTTTCCCCTTCATGAAATAATTAGCAAAGGCACCCATGGATCTGAGGTCTCACCCAGATAGCCCTGCTGTTCAGATGTCACATAATTACCTGTTCTAGGTAAACTGATTGCTTTCTATGAAACAGCAGTTTAGGATTCCAATTTCAAAGCAACTCTGGTAAAATTTTTGTGGAAGACTTCAGCCTGCAGAGGATTTTTATAAATATCTTAATTGCGTACTGCACCAGTTATTCTTGGCCTTTTTTTTTTTTGATGAAGAAAAGGAATTTAATTTCAAGACACTCTTTTAGTGTGTACTGCAGAAATCAAAATGGAGGAACAATGACAAGTTTGTCAGGAATCTTTTGTAATGGGTATTGAAATCAAGGGGAACAAAATCCACCTCCTTGAATGCGTGGGACAGTGGGGAACCAGTAAACAAGGGGTTTGAACCAAGCTGCAATGACATATGCATAAAACTTCAAAGAAATAATTAGTAAATAGAACAGGATCCTTTGCAGAGCATCACTTGACAGCACTTCCTACAGATGTGGACAAGCGGGTGTAGGGCATGGCGGAGGCTGGCAC